TATTAAATCAAAAATAACTTATTTCGTTATTAAACTTAAATTAAATTATAATTAAAGAAATTACATAAAAAATGAGAACTTTTAAATAGTTGATATGATATTAACATTGATATTTTTTTTCAAATTTTTATGATATCTTCAAATTTATATTTTATTAAAAAATAAAATCATTATTGTTTTCTTAAAAACACATAAAATCATATTATAACATCGACAGAGACAAATAATAAAATAGAACAATAAATTCGAGATGTTTATCGCTGCATTGCGCGAGTATAGTTACATGAATAAGCAACCTTGATCTGATTCTTATTTGAAGTAACGAACTTTCAAAACTTTTATTTTAATACCTCATATGTAAAATATCAAAATTTTAAATATTTAAATTACCTGATGACTTACAAATATTGACTAAGATTAGATTTTTATTAGTGTGGCATCATTTATTTATTTTATAAATGTCAACTAAGAAAAAAAAGTCCATATCATTTTTTTAATTTTTTTGTGAAATTTGTATCTTTCAGTTAAGGAAAAAAAATCCACGTCATATATTTTTTTTGTGAAATCTATATTTTTTTAATTAAGAAAAAAATACATTTTTAGGCCTATATTTTTTTAGTAAAATCTTCTGTAATATTTTTAGGTCTATTATTTTAATAAAAATATCGTTTCAATTATAAAAAAAGGCACAATAATATAACATTGCTATCAATTATAGCCAGAATGTTCTTAGACTTCGTTAATGCTCAATTAATGTTATATCTGGCTCCGGTTAGTCCTCTTAGGCGGAGCTTCTTCACTTTCTCTTGCTTCAACTTCACATTAGAAAAAAATCACGTTAATTGCCTGACGTCTTTTGAATAGCAATTCGTGAAAATTTAATAAAAAAACATATAGAATTACAAGGTTTACTTACCATAGTCAGTGTAACTAGACCAATCCCTTCCCTTTGAAGTCTTACCTCTCCTTTTGAACTACTATCTCGTGAACTGCTAAATCTAGGCCTACAGTGCATCCTTTTTTCTGGTTTTTACGACCTTTTGAATTATGTCCAACCTCCCAATAATTTTTGCAAGTCATTTACCTCCCTATTCTTCCCACCTCATTATGTTCAAAGTTGTTAGTCCTACTGCTACTACCACCTTCACATGCATTCTTTCGTCTAGACATTGAAGGTCTACCAGGAATTCTTCTAAATTTTGATGGTAAAAGTTTGACAAATTTTGTGGTCGGCCAAAACTTGACGTCATTTAATGGATTGACCCTATGGTTGTATGTGTTTATGAAATATGATTTTGAAAGAAAAAAAGGTGAGATACGTACTTACTTAGGTCCCAATTAATGAAATAAATAATTGCATTTGTGTGAGTACATGGAATTCCAGAGAGTTGCCAAATTCTGCAAGTACATGTCATTTTATCCGTATTGACAGCATATCCATCAATCCCTTTTTTTGCTTCAGAGAGAGTCCTGCCATTCAGGACAATATGCCAAAACCTAAGCATCATTTAACCGGTCTTCATTCAAGTCTATTGCACCTCCAAGGTCATCAAAACTACTAAAAGCCCCTTACTCCTGTTACCTACCATTGAGTGAAAAGTGAGTTATGATATAACAAAAAGGTGGGGATGGTAAGATATCTAACTTCTGATCAATGACAAGCCCCAACTCTTTGTGGGTAACAACGATCTATTTTTATCTATTATTCTATTTACTTATTGTAGCGGAATCAAAAATATATGACCCATTTTACCACAATACTTGGTACATTTTCTATAATTGCATACTATATCATACCTAGGTGTTAGTTCTCATGTTCAATATCCATGTTGGAACGGAATCATGAACATGACAATGTCAACAGGATATAGATATATGACTTTATAAATAACAAGTTGATAAATGTTAATTTATTAACCTTATTACATCATTTTCTTAACCATTTCACTTGTTTTATTTGACCATTAGTGTCTTAATTGAGTCTTTTTATGTCATCTTTATATAATAGTAGTCTTATGTAATGTTAATTCCCTGTTTATGCAGGTTTTTGATGATTTTTGGACCAAATCCTGCAGCAGTCCTATAGGAATAGGTGTGGCAGAATCCTATAGCACCTGTCCGTGAGCTGCACATTTTGCCTGGGCCGAAAATTCTTGGGCTGCTCCCTTGAAGTTGCGTGGTCAACAGCCTTGGGCCTGGCCAAAGCCAATTTTTGAAGTACCTTTTGTCTTATTAGGTGGCTCCCATTGTGCAAGCTTCCTTAGCCTATAAATAAAGGCTTAAGGCTTTGTTTTTAAACACCTCTTACTTGCTTATTTTCAAAATTTTGAGTTATGAACATTTGCTCTCTAGATTATTGTTTTCGATATTTAAGCTTTCGGTTTTCTTGCTTCCAACCAAGAACCGATTTTTGTGAAGTGTGATTTCGTTCTCAAGTTTTAATACAAGTACTCGTATTTAATCTTCATCTCATTTATGTTCTTATTTCTAAGTTACGATACGTTTTCTGACTTTCGTTACAAGTTACGAATTAGTCGATCTCTGTTGTTTTACACTGGATTTATCATTTGTAGCTCACGACTAATTTACGTAAACTAAATAATCTGTTCTTAAAACTTTGCAAGTAACTTTTCGGTCTTTGTAACGAAACTTGTGTTGCAAGTTTTGTTACTTGTCTTGCAAGTTTCTTCAAAGTCAAACTTCCCTTTTTTTCCATGGGGTGGGCTAAATGCACCCCTATGCATTGCTTAATGCACCCCTATCCATGAATTTCTTCCTCACACACATCAACATCAATACATGCTTTTTACATTCTCAATGCTTGAATGACCTGATTCTGACATCAAAGGGGATGCCATTAGCACTCCCCTTTTTCCATGCTTTCATTTGTCACATCTTCATCTCATCAAGTACTTATGTTACATCATGTCTTAGATTAATTTTAATTAATAATATTTAGTTATTAGTAATTTAATTTCAATCCTTTACATTTCTGTCTTTTATATTTCAGTCTTTACTTTTCTGAATTTTACTTTACTGCAATTTACTTTTCTGTCATTTAATTTTCAGCAATTTAATTTCAGTCATATATATTTCAGTCATTTAATTTCCAGTACTTTAAATTCCAATATTTCCATTTCTTGTAATTTAATTTCTGCAATTTACTTTTCCGTATCAATTATTTATTTTTCCGTCCTTACATCCTTCGAGAGAAGAAACCAAGCGATGATGGGCTAAACGCCTTAGCTTGGGGTGTAATGGGAAATTAAGACCAAAGCTGATGTGAAAGTACAAATGTGTCTTATGTAACACCCATATTTTTACCATGAGAGATGTTACGTAATCTGAAACAGATTCTCCAAAAACACTCCAAAATAATGGCTAAATTAAAACTTTAAACCGTTCACAGCGGAAGACTTTAAAAGAATAAATATATAACTTAATGTCAGCCCGTCCCATACCGGGTTGCTTTACAAATTCATCTATCATAGATGATTTTACCTAAATATTGAACTTAAATGGACTAGACAAATCTCTATGTATGCCCTTCTTTTTCTTTGTCCAACCTGAAACCTTCTGTCCCTRAGATGCATACTATAGTCAGCTTATAAAGCTCAGTGAGTTCATGGTTTGCGTGAGTAAAGATCATTGCACATCATACATTTCAACTTGTAAACTTTGTATCAAATAATATGCATTTTCTGAAAAACATGCAACACTGAAAGAAAAGAGATCTCATAA